CAATTCAGAAGCAGAAAACAACAAGATGCATTAAATTCTTTCTAGTCAATCTTTATTTTACACATTCTCATCACAGCAGAGAAACCAAGCCACACAGTCCATCCTGATTTACATCTGCCTTGCTTCTCTCCAAATACTGCTTGCTGTTCATTTAATATAGTTAAAAAAATACTGAAAAAAGTGGGGTTTTTTTGTTTTTGTTTTTCATCTAAACACAAACTAAAGGATATTTACAGCCACCAAAAACCCTAGAAGAGGACTAGACTGTACAGGGAAGCCTTTTGGGGTTCTTTTGGAGGTTGTTACTAAGTGATTCCAGAGCTACATTGTACAAGGTGCCCTAAGGCTGCTTAATGACACAAAAGGATCTAGAATTAATTATTAATAGGTATAGAGGGGAAAGGGAAGCCATTCAAAGCCATCCTCTGTTTTAACAGACCAGGTACCATCCGACTGCTCCAGTATCCTGGCTACGGGAGGAAGTGCCTCTGATAATGGGGAGGTCGGGCTTGACTTCATTATACAGAGAGCAGAACACCAAGTGAAATCCCACAGGGAAATATTTATTGAGAATTGTCTTTTCTACAGGATTGCTGCAGTCAAAATACAAACGGGTTCTTGAGCTAGTCAACATATAAAGACTGTCTCTTTTCTCAGCCACTCCTGGTACCTTCAACTTACAGGTAAAGTGAGTCTCTCAACAGTGTATTTTTCTTAAGTCTTTCCTTTCAGCCACCTTAAGCACATACCATTTGGAGTTCTTAAAAGGCCATTGCTATATCCTGGCAAACTACATGGGAGAAAACGCACAGCTTTCAATATTGATCGGTAGAAAGTGACAAATAAGCCAAAACATCATACCCAGTGGCTACAAGAAGCCAGATTAGTCCATTTTAGAACAATATTTTCCAGCAATCAGCCCCAGGGAACAGAATGAAACAGTGCTCAGGCACCTCTGGGGAGCACCACCTTCGTTTTCATGAAATATTCAGGCTGAAGTTACAGATTCTTTCGAGGCTGAGTAAAGTCTCAAATGCCCCTGTATTTTCCAGCTACTACAGATCACATCACCATGCTCTTTTGTAAGAGTGAAAAATAGGGAAACATTTTATGATTGAGATGGAGATCACGATGCAAAAACCAGTAAAGCACATTTGCTTTAGCTGCAGCCTGTTAGCTACTGTTACAGGTCAAGCTGAAGGAGACAAACTGTACAGGCTGAAGGAGGGAGTGTTTCCTTCCTTCAAAACCTGCACAATAGAAAGAAAAAAGTAAAAAAGGATATGCAATTTCAGCTCCCACTGAGCTTAAGAGACCCTATAGATAGGCAGTGTTTGCTTCAAACGCAGACAATCAAGTCTCAAATGGGCAACAAAAGACTTCTCCATCTGGAAGCCCCTGGCCACACTGCATTCCTCTTCCCTACGAGGTGCATAAGAGGAAAGAGAAGAGTTAGTATGTTCAAGATCTGTCATGGGCCTCTGTGCGTGCACCAGAGGCTGGTCAAGACATGTCCTTTCATGGTCAGGAGTGTTACAGTGCTTAAGGACACTTGGTAGATGCACGTTCACTTTAGAGTCCAGCTAGCTTAGAAAAACACATCTTCCATGCTACCAGCTCCAAGACAGAATACTGCAATGCAGCAAATTTTTACAACATGTTCCCAGGGTATGCCAGCATGGAAATCCAGGAACAGGGCACTCAGCTGGAGAGAAGCCCTGCACAATGCTCTGCACAGCTCATGACACGCTGCGCTAGACGGCAACATGAAAGAGCCTTAATAGGACAGCATGTGCCTCCTTCAGCTAGAACTGCTGCATTCGGAGGAAGCAGCAGCAACGTTCCGTTCTGGATGACCCCGTTACGTCTTGTTTTCTTTTAATATACCTCTTGATAAACCATCAAGGAAAGCTTTCAAACCTGAAGAATGCAAGAGCCTGGCGTTTGCACTGCAAGGAGGTTTCCTATGGAGGACGGCTTGCGGAACAGATACAGCGGGAGGAGCGGATCAGCGGCATTTGCATGTCATCAGCGGGGATTTATTAGGGCATAAACTGCACTGCAACTGAGTGAGCTGGTGTCCTTTTAGTCTGCAGAGGGTGCCCAGTACTCCTCAGCAGCAACACGTGTAACTGCATCACAGCCATTTATTCTGAATTGCACCAAACCTGCCTTTCCAGGACTCCTCTTGGTTGGACTGCTGCACACTCAGGCTGACTGCTTTGGTTGCTCGTTTCAGTAAAAGGCAGGGCCAGGAAAGCTCGACAGCCCCTAGGCCAGGGCGCTGCACAGCCACGAGCAGCAATTCCACCTGCCCTCCCCGTGAAGGCAAAGCTTCCTATGAGATATAGAGCAGCCAGCACTGGAAGGGCAAGCGCTGCGGTTATCCTGCCTGGTGAGCTCCTGAGCTGCTGCTGCTCACCAGCAACGGGAATAGCCATGAGTTTGCTAGTCATGTGGATGTGGGATTGCCCTGGGAGGGACGGGCAGGGAGCAGCCCTCCTTTAGGTGATGCAGCGTGTGCTCCACGTTTTGCAAGGAGCAAAGGTGCAGCTGTCCCCTCCGTCCCAGCCACTGCCCAACCCTGCAGCACGCTTCTCTGATCTGCCCCAAGAACTGCTGTACAGCAACAAAGAGGAGAATTTCCTCAGAAATGGCTGCAGTAAGAACCTGCTCTCAGCTTTTACCCCAAAACCCATACCTTTTTTCCCCTTACTAATCCTTAAGACCAGCTAGTTATGTCGTGCTGCTGGTGAGCATCCAGCACCAAGCATCCGCTGAAGCTGGTTGTACTTTTGACTGTTTAACCCCAGGTCTGAACACGGAAACTTCTCTTCTAAAAATGCTTTTGAAGTCCTACCATGGCTTTTCATGACAAGGTAACAGAAAACACTCATTTCTTGGCCTTTGACTTAGGGAGCCAGGGATTCGATAGGTAAACCTACACTGTACACAACTTTAGCAAAAAAATTGCATATAAAAAAGAAACCTGAGACTAAGGTAAAAAGCACTGGCCGCCTCAGCAGCTTCACGGATGCTGAGGTATGGAATAGCCAGCTGTTTGGAACCAGCTCCGTGGCACACGCTGGGATCCCAGAGCCACTGATGTTTGGGGGTGAAGAACTGCACCCATTAGAATTTCACACCTCATTCATAAAATGTATTAACAGTTTCTATGACAGCATCTCGTCTAGATTAAGAACGTGTTATTGCACTTCTGTTCCTGACAGAAAATCCTTGTGTCTTACCTCCTTGACTACTAACAGACTTCAAGTCTCTCGTGGACTACTCTGAAGAGAGTTTACAGCCCATATGAGTAGCCCTTTTGATGCAGGTAATGACATTTTCTGTGGAGACAGAGCAACTGCATAAGGATCAGTGAGGATCAGGTTTTCAGGTATTATATATTGAAGTGTGTGATGAGCAGGGACTGCCTACATGTTTATACTCCAGTTCCCCACAATAACTACTTAATATGCGGAAGCATTCTTCATAGAGAAGGTCTAAAAGCCTCATATATCACATAACAGCCTTTCTAGGAGCACAGGCACTCTATTTCCACTATAGCTGTGTCTTTGCAAGACAAGGACACCGAAGTCAAACCAGCACTGCTCTGATTGTTATGCATTACAGCTGAAAAGGAAAATACAGAAGAAGATTCTGTATCAAGAGGACTATTCTCATGTGATTTGTTTTGTTTTCCCCCTCTCCTGAAGAGGGACCAATTTCAGATACCAAAGCAAGTAGTTTCACTTCTACCACTTCCACAATCAGTAGAATCAACGCCAGGGAAGAGAAGTGGCAATAGGAAAAAGCAAACAACAGGTCTTGAACAAGTACAGACTGCTCACTTAAGAGCTTTACAATCCCTGCTCAAGACTAAGAAGTGGTTCAGCCTTCTGAAGAGATAAACCTGCTTTTAAACTTAATAAAATGATGAGAAATCCTCTACTCAGTTACTCAGATCTAGTCCTTTCATACAAAAAGGGCAATTCCTAAAAAGTTGGTAAGAGATGATGGCACATCTGGAAGCTATTTGATGCTGTCTAATCCTGTCACCCTGACAGGAGCACTTTGCTTGACAACACCATATATGTCTAATGTTTCCACATTAAGATTAAGGCTTCAGAGGGTCAATGAGTCATACTTGATTTTTCTTTTTTCCCTTAAAGCTTATCCCCTGTTACATCAGGGAACAACTCCAGGCCAGTTCCTCCCCAAATTAACCACTTGCTATGCCCAACTGCTATAGCTAGAGGCACCAGTTTGCCTTACTAGCAAAACCAGAGCACTAGAAGTAATGTTGCAAATGCCATATGCGTTTGTCTCAAGACTCCACTACAAATTTGCAGGTAATCATTAAGACTCTCATATTACTGGATATTGACAGCACTCCGGTCATAACCCTCTTTTTTTCCCCTGACAAAACCATTTACGACTGGGACTTGCAGCCTCATGGTTTTGACAGCAATTCCTTTTTGACCACTTGAGCTCATCTCAGACAACAATACCACTAATCCTACATAGCCAGAAAGGTACAAGTGACCATCCAGAGAGGCAGAGATGAAGGTGAACCAAGATTTATGCTGCAGTAGGTTTGCAAGACAGAATTTTTCTGTGAAGATTCTGGCACTGCTTACACATTGCCAAAAAGGAGTGTGCTTTCTGATATACCTTGAAAATATTTCATAATGCAGATCAAAGTGCTGAGTCACAGCTTGAAATTCAATGTTTAAGATAGCAAGGCAGGCCCCTAAAAAGCAAGCAATCTTGCACCCCCTTGTGTACTGCTTGTCAGGTGGGTGTGAATCAAGGGCAACTCCATTAACAGTGGAGAATTGACACTAACATTTATTGCACTATGGGCTAGTTCTGTTAAGGGAGGACAGCTGCTTGCCTCCTGCATAGCAACACACTTGAAAGCCTGGCGTGTTCAGGTGGATACCTGCACAGATTACACAAGACACTTGCTTACTTCCCCACTCATCACACAAGTGGCAAGAGTCATCTGATCCAATACCCCGTTCAGCCTCTTTGCAGTTGTTTCTATTAATTTGTCTTTTTCAATGTTTTGTCCAAGCCAAAAGGAAAGTTTATAAAAAAAGAAATACTTACATCTCATTTTCCTATCTTCTGCGACACTTTGTAATTCCCAGCATATATGTTACATAGCATGTGTGAATATATATGCATTATATAAAATATATACTTTACTTACACACTAAAGGTCTCTCTTCACATTAGTATAATACATTCTGAAGAATGCAATTGCAAAACAATTTAGAATAACTGATCCAGAAAGGGTGGGGAGAAATAAAGAACAACCTACCCAAAATCCCTAGGAAAGCTTCACACTTCTTGCAGGTACCAAGAGACCCCATTTTCTTATGATCAGAGGAATAGTTAAGATTTTTGCACTGCTTTGCTCCCTACTAGACATACCCCACTCCGTAGTTTCAGTGTCGGGAAGTGCTAGTTGCTCCCCTTCCACTGAGAGTAATATTAATAAATTAAAAAAAAAGTTTCTCTGAAAGTGCTGCCGTAGTCCAGTCCATCACGCTGTGCTCTCCCACTCGCCCCGGAGCTATGCTGAACCATTCACCACTTTCTTGACTTTCTTCATGCCCTCCATTACGCCAGAAGTCGTCACCCTAGAGAAAAAAGAAACATCACTTCAGAGAACAGAAATTCAGCTACGACATCCATTTCATCAGCCCCATTTCAGACTTGTGTTCCTGCACATGTCCTTAACAAACCCTTCAAGGGTCTCTTTACCCTGACCTAGCAGTTTCCAGCATGCTCCAGCTTCCTTCTCTAAAGCTAGAGCAAACAGCAGCAGCACAGCATTAGAAAGTCCACAACAGAATAAGCATTAATATTACCCATATTTGACAAAAAAGAGCAAGCAGGGCTGGCTAAACTGACACCAGCTGACTTTTACTGAGTTTAAACACTTTGCTTCAAAACACTTTACTGTACAACTGAACACCCTTAGTTCTATGCATTAAACACTTTCTTCTTCATTTGCACTGCTTTTAATAGGTCCAACTTACTACACATATACCCATACGACCGTCACTGCCCCAAATCTACTTTATTACCTTAATGGACACTGAATCCTGTTAAGAGCAGCACTGCTCAGTGAGCAGCAAGATAACAGAATGGAGAGGCCATCCCTTTTATACTAACCCAAGCCTGGATTTGTCATGGCAATGTGACCACTGAACTACAAAGCCTCATGACACTGTTCAAACACTAGGCAAACTGAGCTCCTTATCCAGCCCCAACAGCATCACTACTCTCAGAACTACCCTGGCTACCCAAAAAGCTCTTCAGCCCAGCATCTTTCTCTGTTGCTACAAAAAACAGACTATCTGCATAGGTAAGCCAGTTGTTTTCATTCTTTTACATGCTATAATTCCTATTGTATACTAGTATTCTTTCATACGAGGGTACTGCAAAGGTTATTTTGGATGTTGAAAGCCAAGGTAAGAGCGCCAATAGCTCAACGCACTCACAAGGGATGCCTGGAAGCATAAAACAAAACTGTTTGGTTTGAAGATGCAACCTTCGGTGTGTGTGTGTGCTTTCACCTGCTGTGTCCAAAGCAAATCACTTTACTTGAGCACACTAGCTAGCAGCATCTTCACAGCATCCTTCAAGAGGAGAAAAAATGTTCAGAGACACTCTTCTGATGATGCCTTTAGTCACACATCAGATATCAGCTTGTGTTCACCTACTGTGGAAACAATTTATTCACTAACAATAAAAGCCAGTGTATCCAGTGACTCTGGCAGTGACAGTATTGGGATGGCCAGTGGTTCAGACAGAGTGATCTAATGTTTAAGGAAAGAAAAAGCAGTAGAAAATACAAATCAAGTAAGGAAAAAAGGAAAAAAAGCAAGGAAGCAGGCTGCTTGAACAAGAAAGAACAAAGCAGTAAACAGTAAACAGATTTGCCAGAAAGAAAACACATCAGGCTTTTTAAGTGAGAAAACATGTAGTAGACCTCCTAACTTCTCCCTGTTCACAGAGGTATTTCTCTCTGTTACAGGTGACATTTTCAGAAGAAACCTAGGGAAGTCTAGACTGGATGAAAGTGTCATTAAGTGAATGCAGAACTAACTGGAAAAGCATACACTGACATGTGCTTAACGCTTTCCTGTCAGAAAGGCAGGACACTAGGCACTGTTCCAGGGAGGTCTGTCCTGGGTCCACTTCTGCTCAGTGTTTTCAGTAATTGCCTGGGTAATGGAATAGAGAACTTGCTTATTAAATCTGTACAAGATACTAAGAGCTACATATTTGAAAACAGGACTAGAATTCTGAAGGATTCTGGCAAATTGGAGTAGCAGTCTGAAAAAAAATAAGGGCCGAGGCAGAAAGACAACTACCAAGTTTACTCTTCAGAAATAATTAACTTCATAATTACAGAATAAAGGGTTAAGTATCAATTCTTCAGAGGAGATCTGAAGATTACAATGGACTGTAAGCCAAGAACAAGGCACTGCCACATCAGTGGAGTAGCAGACATACTGGGATATACTAATAGACTTTCTGCATGATACCACAGTAGCCCTAATATTGACTTAAAGCTAGTAAGAGCTCCCCTGGCACATGGTATAGATTTTAGTACTGTACATTAGGACAGCTACAAATGTAGTTCACACCCAGAAGAAAAAACCCAAAAACTAAACAAAAAAGCCGTACACGACATGTTCTGGGATTATTGTAGCAATAGGAACGATTTATCCACAGCAGGATAGGATGAAGAGCCATGTACTGAAATCGCAGCCAGATAAAGTTGGATCATTTGTTACCACACAGTTCGTGTTGACAGAAAAGTGCTGGGAAAGGCTTCATGGAGGAGGTGGATTCCTCAGCAGTGAAAGCTGAAGACCATCCCTCTTAGGAGCACTGATCTTGTCTCATGACAAGCAAACAGTGCAGCTCCTGAGATCCTGTTTCCTAAGACTGCTCACACACACTGGGTAATTCCTCTCCTCCCCAAAATCAGTTGGAACACCATTAGTGCCCAGTACAGTAAGGATGGCAGCACTGTCAAGTACTCTGCAATTCTCATTCCAGTCCTCTGAACAGTTTCACAACTTCAGTTCTGACCTGCAACACTGCAAGTAAATATTCCTCAGCTGCAGTTCCCTGACCTGCATTTCTAGTCCATAGATTGACAGCTAGACTACAATAAATCTTCTCACTATTTTTTTCTCTCTAGAGAGAATTTTTGTGACTGTCAAAAAGGTAACAAACTTATCAGAAAAAGCAGAAGGCAGAAAAGCAGCTCCCTGACCTCTCTATTGTACAGATGCACATGCTATGGAAATTCAGCTTTTGATTGTTTTTCATTATGTACAAGGCAGCAAGGGATTGCTAAATATCCACAAGCATTTTCAGTCTCCCACTGCAGTGCCTCTCTCTCCTCTCCTATTTTACAGTCCTACAGGAAGCCCTGGAAGGCAGACAGCAGCCAACCTTCACATTTTAAGTCTCTGACACTGCAAGCTGAAGTGAAAACTGATCTACTATTGAAGAAAGAAGCTGATCTCAGCATGGGAAAGATGTGTTAGGTGAAGAAAAATCACTTCCAACCGAGAATATCATGAGTCAATCTGCCGTGAAGCACAACCTAAGCAAAAGGACAGAAAAGCAACCAACCAGGACCTCAAGTCCCAGCACAGAACAGGCTGCCTCATCATGCAAAGAGAAACTCCAGATGCCAAGACATAAAGCAAACATAGGTCAGTGTCACCATATCAGTAACTATGTTGGAGCTGTTTTGAATGTTAAGAAAAACAAAATAATTACAGTCTCCATGCTCTCAGTAAGATTTACTGAATCAAACACATAACCATTAATGGCTTTTCCTGCAATTCCTCCTCCAGGATATCCTCAGCCTGCAAGTATTCCTGAACATGATCTCGACCCAGACCTGTAGCAGAACACTGTGGTACCTAACACTGAAAGTAACACTTATTGAGCTAATGAAATAATTACTGCAGGAGCAGAAAACCCAAATTGCTTCCTTTTCCCCATACACACACACACTCACACTGTACTGTTTAGATTTTAGTGTTCATGTCCCAGAAGTAACATTAAGGTTGGAAGCCTGGCAACCATTTCTGCCAAGTGTGGCTGCACCTTCTCAAGGAGAACGCTTTAATCTAACAAAGTGTCAGCCCTGTGCCCACATCCTGACAGCACAGGCTCAAAAGGCTGCCCGGCAGAGAATACCCAGAAAGCCACTTCATTGATGATGAACAGCTATTGACTCTACTTGAAAAAGAACAGACTGGTCCTTAGTTCGAGTTTAGTCATACTCTCCTCTCCACCAATTTCTACAGTCTGGTATAACTGGGGAGAGACCTATAACAGCTGTGGATACTTTCTTGTAAGACAGAAGTTTGTTTAAAACAAGTAAAAGAAACTTTGCAAACTTGCTACAAGGTACTTTCCACTGGTTGTAATTTATATTTTATTTTTAAGAGTTACATGAGTTGACCGAGGGAAGAGCCGTGCCTTACGTTGCCCTTATCACAGACATGCAAGGTTTTTTTTTGTTTTTGTTTTTTTTTTTTCTTTCTTCTTCTTCTCCTTAAAACACTACTAATTTTCACACTGTCCTTACCAATAGTTACATTCACCGCCTGGCAAAGATTTGTATAGTTTGTACTCTGAAAAGAGGCAAAAAAACAGAAAGCTGCACTTAAAACATCCTTTTTTGCTAGGAAATTTAAGCAAGCCTGAATAACAGGCTTGATGACCTCAGCTCTCCCCACTGCTGGCTCATAGAAGTGTTGAGTCTAAAGAAAATGAATGCTTCTGCAGCAAGTGTTTTAAAATCCTGATTTTAACAAAAACCCTCTGGGAGAGGAAAATAACCATAACGCAAAGTGTTTTGCTTTTCACCTGGAAATCAGGCATAGCAGAATACCGTGAAGTTTGAAATTTGCAAGCTTTTACTTTCTGCCATAGCTTCTGAAAACAAGTGGGTATTTTACACCATGAAAACCAAAACATACACTCAAACGATCGTTAGTCAAGATGCCGTCAGGCACTTAGTCACTTGCTCGAATAAGCCTTGATATTTCTTCCCCACAAAAACAACATTTAATATTTATAAAAGTAAAAATAGGACCAGCAGGACCAAATCAACAAGAAATCTAACACGCTAAACTGCAGTGCTTCACCTATCACAAAATGTGTACGCACCATGCTTTCAAATACGTGCAAACTTAACCTCCCTGAGGCAGCTGGAGGGAACACAGGACTCTTCCATAGATTCCCCCCTGCCAAGTGTCCAAATGGAAGAAAACTGACAGGGAATCAGATAAGAATCCCAACAAGGCTATGAGGAACAACCCATGGGGCACCAGAATGGAAACTCCCGAGGCAAAGAGCAAAATGCCTTGCTAGGAGAAAAGCTCACAAGGAATTCTGACCCTTAGGTTTTGAGCAAGGTCTCTTTTGCTATGCAAGATGTAGATCGCTTAGCTCATTACACTTTCTTGTTATTCCTAGCAGATTATTTTAAATTTAGCAGCCTTGTCAGCTTAGTGACTTCACCACATCACCTGAAAGCTGCCAGAACAATAGCCATGAAAAACTACATGAGTAAAATGCTTAGCTGAAATGCACTCTGCTAGATCTCCTAAGGAAAAAGGTCACTTTTGTGCGAGTAAAATGCTTAGCTGAAATGCACTCTACCAGGAGATCTCCTAAGGAAAAAGGTCACTTTCGTGCAATCACAAATCCTGCTACACCTTCTAGTTCAGAGAGCCCCTTCCAAATGGGGATGTCTGTTTACCAGCACCCAAACCAAAACCAATGTCCTACATAAACCACCTAAACACCTTTAAGTGACAGTGATTTTAAAGTCATTGTTTACTAGCTGGAATTCACTTTATTATTCCTCATTCTGGGTGACAGCTGGGTGCAGTGGGCTAACTTGAAAACCTCTTTTCAGTCAGTCTCAAGCCCCTTGTCTACACAAGCATCAAGAAACAATCAGATAAAGAAAGAAGCAGAGGGACTTGTCTTGCCCCATGAAATGCTTTATCAGCTTAATCCACACTGCTGCAACACCCAGCTCGGGTTTTCCTATACATCACAACCTTCTGGTTGTTTTAACAGATGCCTCTATTTTTAAACATGATAGCAGACTCAGTTTTTTTTTTTTTTTTTCCTTAAAGAAAGACTTCTTACAGACATGGAATAAGCTGTTTTTAAGCATTCCTTTTCTCAAAGCAATTGAAGTGGTTAAAAAAGTGTGTGGTGGGGTGCTCTTACACAGCTTCCATCTCCAGATCATCCTCATCATCCTGAGAGAGCTGTAGATAGGGGTTGTCTGATGCCGGACGAAACTTGTACCCGGTGAGAACAAAGAAGACAAGTGTGGCCATTTCATCTAGCAACTGCAAGTGAAAACACAAAATCCAAGTTTATTCTTGTAATCCTTCACTGTCATAAAGCATTTCTCCTCATTCATATAAGGTTGAAGATTTAATGGCCAAGAAGTCTGTACAATGAACACAGCAATTCCCATCTTGTTATCATTAATCTCAGGCTGAAAGCTGTCAAAGCCCTTTGTTCTTTCAGCTTTCCTTGTCACTTTAAATATAGTTACAATTCTAGCCATCATTCCAGTGCTTTTAAATAACTAAGGCAAGGCTTGGCTTTTAAACGAGGAAAAAAAAATATAGACATCCCTAAGTTTTTCTTGGTACTTCCAACAGTTAACGTATTCCAAAGACTCCCTGCACAGTTGCTTAGATTATACGTTAAGAAATCAAGTATTTAAAAGTCACTAGGCAAATAAAGCCTGTAAATGGAAAAGCAAAAGCCTATTTCACTGGCTCCCTGGGGCCTCAATTACACAGGGCAAACCTGACTTTTTCTCCTTTGTACATTCTTGATTAATTTCCTTCAGACATTTTTAAACTGAAAGACTAAAATCAATAATGCAATTACTTTCAGACATCTCATGTATAATCCAGCAGCCTTGCTGGACAAACATTAAACTAAAAATATATTCCTACCATCCTATGTACATTAGTGCTAAAATGCAGGGCACAGCACTCTATGTTCAGAAGGTCTAGCACAACACAGAATAAATTATGGATTTTTTGGGGGGTGCTGCTACACAAAGATTAAAAATGAATTAAAATTCAAGGGATGGATGTATTTTTCTTTACTGGCAAATACCTGGTACAGCCATTTCCACTGGAATGGAACAGCAATCTTTATGAGAATTGCAATGATCCGTGTGAAGTAAATGTAACACACAATCTGTGGGAGGGAAAAGGACAAAATATGAGCAAGATCAATAGCATCATCCTTGCAGAGCCTCTTTTCCAGGGGAATAGCTCAAACAATTCCCAGACAACTCATTATGTCAGATTAGCCTTATTACACTTCTTGATAAACATGGAAGATATAGACTGAGGGCTCTGCTGCTTGTTGAACATCCAAATGACTCAAGCTGTTACTAATATTTAAAGTACTTTCCTGGTCTAAGTTAGGAATTAAGATTTTATGAAACTTGAGAATCAGAATTGTAATTTATTTCTCTTATGGTGGTAAAAGAGTCTGAAATGAGGCTGCTGGAAACCATTAAGGCAGCTATAGTCTCTTGGGAAGTATGCTCACAGCTCCCACTGATTTAATCAAAAACGGCATCTCAAGGCACCATTTGATCCCAAGTTTAATTTTTAGAGAGCTTATATGTTATTCAAGCCCATCAGTTTAGGTGGCAGCTCAAGCTGTTTCCAAAGGAAATTAGTAAGCATTACAAATAGCTGAAAACAGTTTCAGGACAACCAGAAGGATGCAGCCATTAGGTACAGAAGGGAAGTTACTCTGAGAACTGTAAGCCAGTTGATCAAGACACTTAAGTAACAGAACTGTCACTGAACTAAGAGCTTCTCCACCCCACCCACCAACTACAGCAGCTTCCAACAAGCAATCCACCAAAATGCCCAAAAGGCTTATAAATGCTCAGTACAAATTTCAAATTTACAAATTTCATACTTACCATAACATAGTAATGCCTGAAAAGCTTCAGCTTTGCTAGATTAATGGCAGCTGCTAAGAGAACAAAAATTGATTAGGAAATTTGTTAAAACGAGGCAGTTTATTTTGATGCTTGTCTACAACGTAGACTGATGGACAGGACTAGAACTCAAGCAATCCCAAGTTAGAAGCTTTGTCCCACAAGCTGCTGGGTGCCCTGTGAAGTGGTAGCCTGGCTTATTTTCATAGTAGACATTTTTTAGACTGGTACAAATCTCCTCTTAAAAGCCAACACATCAAGATCACCTTTATGCCTAGTTTTGCATGCTTACACCCTGCAAGAAAACTTTATCTAATGCTTATCTGCATACAATCAACTACATACTGTTTCCTCTCTCCTGCCACAAATTCTGGCCCTTTGCTTTACCCTAGGGTCATTCAGAGCACAGGGCAGCTCAGAAAGTTCTCAGAATACAGCAATTTTCTATAAGTTAATCAGGACTCAACTGCTGCACCTTGCTGAGCAGCAGCAGAGGTATTTTAACACCTCAGCTGTGTCCTCTATCCTCATGCCTCAGTCATAGTTTACAAGTGAAATGGGAATCATGCTAAACATGCTGAATGCAAACCGATGCATTTGAGTCAAATCACATAAGTAAAGGCTCCAGGCCAACCTGCACTTATTAATGGGCAGATTATAGCAGCTCTTGAGGAACAGGCATATACTGATGGGAATGAGCAGAGGTCAACATCACATGGAAGAGCTGTCAGCTCTGGTTTGAGAGTCAGGTATTGCAGGCGCAGCAGGTTTACAGATACGGACCCCTGGTGCTCTTGTGACAACAACAGATGCAAAGAGTCCAATATATGTTGACAGCATAAAGAGCTGCAATATATTTGGAGCCAGTGAACACAAGCTGTCAGTCAGACAGTGCTGGCACATAATTACTGCTGTTTCCTTCAAGCCTTCCTCATGTGTTGAGTGTTTATCATGTGTAGAAGTGCCATGCATTGAGGGAGTGCAGGTGAAGTTAAGCACAAAAAACCTGTCAACTACAAAAAGCAGATCTGTAAAAGGCTCTGCAGATTTTCACATAAGATCTTCCAGGTTCCCAATAAGGGAAAAACACAACATTATGCATTAGAACAGTTCTCAGATCACAGCTATGGACAACATGAAACAGATGCAAACCCTCCTCCCCTGGACACAACAACAGCACCTGGCTAACCTAAGACATAGATAACAGCAATGGATAGATAGATGTAAAGTAGCTAAGAGTGGTTTTGACAGTATGTCACTGCAGGATGGGACTGCATTTTTGAGAGGATATTACCTTTCGGACTGCCCTATTAAACACTAAATATAAAAACAGCATCTCCTATGCAGTTCTGGACTCCTGAACACACTGTCCAAGTTCCAGTACGAGCAGTCAAGTTCAAAGAGCTCCTGACTGGGCTACAGATGCCAAGACCTGTAATCACAAGAACAGTAATCTAACCAAATCCTTGGTACTTAAGCCAGCTCCGAGACATTGGTTCAGCTACTACTTCCTCATTTCTCCCCTCCCCAAAGCTAGTTTCTTATATTTAAATAGCAGAAATGGGGAGATTTTCACGGGTCTGACTTTGCCAGACAACTGAACGTTGAAAGTTTCTCATAATACAGCCAGAGAAAGACTAAGGCATGTAAATATGCAAGACAAATTCATTACCTCCTGAAGTAAAAGAGCAATGTGGTCCTAAAGAGCAACTGCACACAGCGTTATCACAAAGCGCCTGTGATTTACCATGCACAGCCTGTGCACAGAAGGATCTATTTTAAACTCAATGCGTTCATGTGCTGAAGGATCACCACCAACCGGGGCAACGAGCAGCCACGAGGATTCCCAGGCTTTGCAGTGAAAGAAGGACCAACTCAACAGCTATGCTCCACACTGCCAGTCCACCAAGTGCTTTACAGCCAGCTACTAGTGACACGGGGAGTCACTTCTGCTTCATGCAGTGCATAGGAGGAAGGGATGGTGAAGCCAAAGATGTGGCTGCCAACTGAAGTGACACCATGTCACCTCTCAGCTGACGAGCACAGCTCAGCACTCTCACCTACTCACCAGTACAATCAATACAGAAGAGTCATAGGTTGGCAGAACTACACCTAGATATCTCAAATGGCTCAGTGTGGAGGAGGAATAGGCTAAGGGTAAGAAAAGGGACAAAAACACCAAGTAGGAAAACTGGAGAGCCAGTTCCAGAAGGTGGCTTAGTTACATCAAGCAGGTGCCTTCCTCAGGGGACACAAGCATCAGTGCTAGTGTATGTCTAACTGTGTTTCTCTAAACACCTCCAAGTTACAGCACACAGTTTTGGAGAATCTGAAATCCTCACTGCTTGATATCCACAGCTTGTGCCCAGCCTTTTTACTGGCTAAATGTGCCCCAAACAGTAACAACTGAGTCTTGCCATGCTGGACTTCAAAATTTTGCTTCCCCTGGCCTGGCCATTGAGGCAGAGGCTGGGCCAGCAGCTGCCATTTACCACCTGAATCACTTGCAGACGTGATTTGTACAGCTGTGATAACACAGCAGCAATCACAGCACGTAGCAGAGGCTGGGTAAATCTGTTATGCATACAATAACCATTCTTCAAAGAATCAGTACTTAACTGTAGGGTGGAAAGAAGAGCAGAGACTCTCTACCAAAGCTTTCACAAACAAATGCTTACTTGTGCTCCACTTCTTTCACAGGGTAATTAAGAAAAAAGCCATCTTCTGAGAAAGGTTTGATTCCTTGTTTGTAATATTTACACCTTGTTTCTCAGTTGCCCTCTCCATCACCATTTACTTAAACAGCCTGCACTTGCACAGCCTGACCTGCATTAATCAGAACGTGGCACACCACAAGTTTTGGAAGTGAAACTCTTTTCCAGATTGCCGACTAGGTCAATTTAAAATGCTTAGACAGCTTAGAGGATGGGTAAAGAGGTCAAATCACCAGCTACCTCCCTGCCCACCAGCAGACAATAGTTTTTTTTGATGGATAAATCTGACTTTTTGAGAATATATATGTAACAACAATAAGAGGACCGCAGCTAAGGGCACCCAGAGATCAAATCCAGCAAAGAAGTTTAAGGAGAAACCTTAATAGAGTGAACGCCCTGAAATACAAGTAAATACCCTGCAGTGCACTGCTTGCTATAGTGTATTTGACATGCAAATCTTGTCATTACCAAACAATAAATTAAAGTTTAAATCCCTTTAAGAATGAAGATATACATAGATTTAGACCACAAGGGGCAACTACAAGAGCAGCCCCACAAAAATATGAGCTATAATCTCTAGAGCACTTCTCCTAAAAGCATTCCTGTGCCATAAATAAGAAGCCAAGCCAACATATGCAGCAACGCTGTGTGCAAGTAAGATCTCACACCTCCTCATGTGCGAGAGGATGGCAGACTGGTTAACCCTGAATCTCCTGAAACACATTAGCCATCTGGCACAGAAGCTCCCTATGACAGTCAAGAGAGATTCTTAAGTGCAGAATTATCAACAGCAGAGTTGCTAATGTCAACTCTGTAGCTATCTGGTATACTGCTGGATACTATTTGATGCTACTGGAACATGACAGGTCTCCTTTATTTCTCAGTTTGCATCTTCCTAGTGCAATCTATTGAGGTCTGGAAACTTAAATCACCAAGCTTGACATGAGGTTTGACATGTTCAGGTATCGCCTGGAGCACTTTTACCCCGGCACTACTTCCTCCTCCTCCTCCCTGGAGGGCTGCAGAGCTGTTTCAGCACGAAGCCATCACCTCCAGCCTCCGCTGAGCTCAGCTGCACAGGGAGAAGGCTGTTCCTGCACCGCGCAGCACTGGGCTCTGCTCAGTGTTTGCATGGCACAGAAGCAGGAAGGCACTGAACACAGAATGATTTTTCCTGACAAGGGGGCAAACGTGGAAGCGTTAATCACTTGCCCACCGCACCGTACGCGGAGAACGTTGCCTGGGAGCCTCACGCTGCAGTGTCTTTCCTCTAGCCCTGCTGCCAGCCCCGCCGCGCTGCAGTGCTGCAGGAGAAGCGCTAACCGCGACCGGGCTGCGTCGAGCCCCACATCCCTCCCCACGCACAGAGCCACGGGCAGAACAAGAACTGCGGGGGTACCCCCAGCTCCCAAGCAACAGAAAATGTAATATGTAAGAGGAGCCTTGACTTGAGAGGTACAGGGACCAGGGACCTGAGTTTCAAGCAAAAGTAAGTCTACTCAATCATCTCTCTCCCTCTTCTCATGACACCTTTAGGCCAGATTTAATGACTTGAGAGGTACAGGGACCAGGGACCCCAGTTTCAAGCAAAGGAAGTCTACTCAATCATCTCTCTCTTCCTTTTCTCAGGACACCTCAGGCCAGATTTAACAGTGTTCCAGCCAAACACTTCCATCTCAGTTTGCAAGGCTGATTCTTTGATCTGTAAGCAAGACATTTGCACTGCAGATCTACAAACAGGCACGTTCCTATCTGGAAGGACATAGCCACATAACAGGACAGGAGTAGCTAGATGCTTGCTGCAGTCAGAAGGCCGTAAGCTTAAAATAAATTTAAGTGGGATACTGAGACCCATTACTGTGCAGGACAAGGAGCCTATATAGGTCAGCCTTTATTCGTGCTAAATATCGTCTTCAAAGAAAAAAAGCAAACATGCAGATCAAACACATGCCTACTCTTCACTAGCAATCTGTAACACCTTTGCACAGAAGGTCTTCCTGGATAAGTTATGGCTTTAGGTCCATTCCTCTAGCTTTCCCACTTTAGAAAAATCATCTGAAACTTTAAGCGAACACTAGGTAGCGAATCCAAGTCACTGCTATCATTTACAAGTTCCTCAAATACTTGTACATGGCTAGTTTGAGGGACTACAGCAAGCACAGCTATGATGGAGATGAAAAGATGAGTAGTCAAGTCAGCCCATTACTTCATTTCTATTCTAGTCAGTCTGCACTAAACCCAGGGGGGTTCTGGCTAATAGACAGGTTGGGAAGTAGCTCAAAGAGGTCAGGAGAGATAGATAGTCAGGACCCTCCAGGATACGGAGCTGTAAAGTCCTGGAGCTCATAGTTCTGAAGGGCACAAGAGAGCATTTTGCTTAGTCCTCCTCACCAGGGAGGAGGTCACCAGAAGATCCAGTGCCAGAAAAAACAGCTACTGAATTTATAGTATATAATTCCCCAGGTTACCCTATAAGTTAATGAAGTCTGTGTGAAAGAAATAGAGAGGCAGCCTCCAAGGTAACAACAGACAATAAATCCTGGCAAGCAATAGGCAGTCTGACCAGGACTGTGTTCATGGATGCAAGATTCAGTCAGCTCCAATCAAGGGTAGGCAATGCAACAATTAAACTGCATGTGAAAGGACCCATTAGCTTTCACCACTTATAAGTATTGTCATTTGTGAGGGAAAAATAAATGCTAGTCAACTTAAGTCACTGCTAGTCATAGTTTCCTTGTAAAAAGACAAGACATAGAGCAGCACCCACTGCAAAATAGGGCTTCCAAAAGTAGTCCACAGAATTAAGAGCATATGGCTCCAGTCAAAGCTATCCATTTATAAACCTAACAAATGATTTTACCTTATTACAGTGCAAACCAAGTCATCTTCAGTTTTCTCTACCAGGCGCAGTGGCAGGATGACGCAAACAGGCAGCTTTCTGCTCCTGGTGTCACATTCTGCTTGCCTGCTCTTCACGGGTTGCTCGCAGCAGCCTCTAAACACCTTCAGAACGCTGTACCTGACACGCTAGCCCCATCTTTGGGACTGTCCTGGCTACAATCTCACGCCAGTCTACACACCTTTTTCCCTGGAATACTTATTTTCCTCTACTATTCTTTAATTATTAATGCATGAGGTATCTACAAAGTTCTTCTCAGCAGATAATTATTGAACTTGCAGGATCTCCACAGTCAAGCACCATTCTCTAGGCCATACAGACACGTACCAAAAAAGAGGACAAAGGAATGGCCCTAGAGACAAATTTATATAACTAACTAGCTATAGATATATTCATTTCTCCACATCACCTTTCTCTTTTACCACACAATATGTCCTTCAGAATGAGAAGGCGGCAGTAGGCCTAGGTTTGCTCAGACCTGGATTCTGCCCATCACTAACAGAGAGATCAAGCACCTTTAATGTTGAACATTTGCGATGTTGGCAATCTTACTCTTCTCGTTCAGCCAGTTTACTTTGAAATTAAGGAAACTCCACAGCACCATCTTGTGCCAGGAACTGTCGAGCACAAGGCTACCTGATACCTGAAGGCCATAGAGAGCCACGCACCAGCCACTGAAATCTCAGCACTAAGAGGCACAAAACCCACTGCCGCACAGCACATCTGCCCTAGTTACATGAAGACTGACCCATTTGTACTATAGCTGCACACAGTGGTTTTAGCTTCAGGCCTTACACAGGCAAAATCCTCAGTTTGGAAGAAATAACCCTGCTTCAAAAAACTTCAAGTTTAGGCAAATATTGTGACAGTAGGTAAACCTACTCTAGGAGAGCAGAGATAAAACACTTAATTAGAAACACACTGAGTCAGTATAAGCGTGTTGGTCAGAAAAATCTAACATGAATGTTACTAGCAGTTATCAGTAACCTCTTAGTATCTGGTAAAAATTAAGACTTTATTTTTCCAGACTTGAATTTTAGAAATGTTGGGCTCATCTAAGTATTGTTCAGTTTTACAGCTAGGAAAGGCACCTAATCTATGGTCTATACAGAGCTGAGCTCTGTACCCAACCTTCCACTTCACCCAACAGATCAGGGAAGTTACATTCATTGAAATGCAAGTGTCTCACCAGAAACATGCAGACCTAAGAGGCCATTTCCAGGAAGGAGAGAAACGTTAAAGGACAAGACAAGGTTTGAACAGGCAGGATGAGCCAACACAGGACCATCTCCAAATAGAGCTTTCAAGACCCGTCAGCCATCAAATGGCAGAATACTAAAAATGCTGCTCACTCTCAAGAAAGTCAGCACTGCACTTCATGCATTGAATCTGCAGCCAACTGCAATCCAACAGCTGAGGAACTGCTTCAAAAATGAGAGGATGAGGCAAAAAGCAGACGCTGCAGAAGCTGCATTGAGTTTGGCTTGCCACTCATCAAGTAATTCTCACTGCTACATTAAACACGACTCACTGGTACGCAAGCAACCCCTTAAGCTGCTGTACAAACATAGAAGCCAAAGAATGTGCAACAATTTATGTTTTGTTGCATAAAAAAGCTTAATTTCCTCCTTCCTGGTTGAGACAGTTTTCTGAAGAAATAAAAATAAGATGATCTGGTTCAACTGGTAAATAGCAGTTTTGGAATTCATTTCTAGTTCTGCTTCTGAACATTTGTGTTAGAATTGAAGCAAAGTTGTCGGATGATTTGCTTTAGATATCACGTCTAACCCAAGGGTATTGAGAGCTGTGCAAAGACTAGAGATTGATTTATAGGCATGACTCAAGCCATTGTATGAAAAAAGGTCAATTTCCAGGAAGTTCACTACAAGAACACAAGCAATGTGACAATCAGATAGCACAGACTTAAAATTTTAGTTTACATATTTAAAATCCATATTGTGTGCTTGATATTTTGGCAACTTTTCATTGCCCATAACAAAGAACAGCACAGAAAATTAGATTACTTGCCTTTTCCATCTGTTGCTGAAGCCTCCTGTAAGTGTCTTATTGACCTAAAAAAAACAAAAAAGGGTAAGTTAACTATAATTTTAGTACTCCTTTTTCAGTGCAAGCCTGTAGAATTCCGACAGTTCTGTTAGCTTGTTGTGCTTGGGTTTTGTCTTTAATTAAATGCATTTAGCACTGCACTTACATATATACACACATGCACGTATCACCCCCATCCCCAATCCAGGCAGTTAGCTCAAGCAGCTGCATCTCCATGTGATTAAAAAAAGCAAAGTGCCAAAGGCTTACTTCAGCCTACACGGAAAGCTCTGTGGGAGGGAGGGAGCAGAGTGAAAAACTGGGGCATTTTCCAGCATAATGATTTCCACTAGTTCAAGCTGAGCTACTATTCCAAGTTCTGCCAAGCATTTGGCATATCATTGCTCTTTTAAGCTCTTTTCATTTAAATAGTTGATTACAGCTTACATGTCTACATAGGCAGCTTATGTAACAGAAGCTACCCTGCAGGAGTGGATTTTCAAGGGTCTTAGTCACCTTGCTCACATGAGTCATCCCACCAGCTGCAGCAAGACTATCCAGATAAAAAAGGGTCAGGATTTAGGCCCTAGGTTCCACTGCCAATTTACATGGGTATCCCAACAATGCAGGAACACTCGTTGCACACTAGAAGCAGTCATGGGGCAGTCTGCAAAAATGCCTTCGTCCTTCAGATACAGCTGCTGTCTGGAAGGTTTGCAGCAGCTTATCACTAGACAGGACACATGGGGCACTGCGCAGTAAGAACTGTCACTCTAACCCCACCTTTATCACAGGAAAGTGGCTATCCACAAAGAAAATTAGTATTCCTGATATTAATCACACCCAGATGTTCTCAGACTCAGAACTGCTGCGCAGTCTCACAAGGAGGGTTTTCATGGCATGGGAGGAAGAGACAAGCAGGTACTGACCCGCAAATGCCTTGGCAGCCATTTCACCACCTTGGCAGAAGGCCACGAAGCCTTTGTGTGGTTTGGTCTCCACACGGAAGCAATGGGAAGGCATTCCCACATTATCACACACCAGGGAAGCTAAACCCACGTTAAGCCAAGCTGAAGCTTATTGCTATCTACTGAGCAATAAATACCTTTTTATATACAAGCAGATATAACTATATACTAAGTTATAGTACAATACATGTAAACAAAATACATAGTGAATGCGAATTTTTAAGCGTATAACATTACCCTGTATTTTTATTTGGATGAGTGTGTGTATATATGTGCATATTTGCATTATAAAACCACTCCACACAAGAGTGATGACATGTTTACTAAATACACATTTGTAATCTCTGCATTAAAGAAGAATGAGATACTGAAAGAAAAAAGAATATCCCGTTTTTATGAACTAATGTAGCCAGAAGCTCCTTCACTGCCTCCTCTAAATCCAGCTGTTTATCCAATAAAGACTAAAAATGAATTTAGAAGATAAATGTTCTGACTAACTGTCAAGAACTAACAATAGCATTTATCCGAGTTATCTGTGTTTTAGTGGAGTTTTATATAACCAACGTTTTTTCTTGCCAAGTAGAGTGGAAGGAAGGGCAGGGAAGTGTTCCCTGCAGGATTATTTCTCCCAACATTCAAGTAAATACCCTGCTACTCCAGTTGAAGGCAGTATTGCTCATAGACAGCACTATTGTTTTAGCACTCCGCAGCCAAGTTTCCAAACTCATTCAGCAAAGCAGAACTCCAGGTTTCTATGCAAGAGAATCAGCACTTCTGAAAAGTTTCAGTTTCCAAAAGCACCAACAGTCTTTGCACCGTCTTGTTCACATTTTTATATCACCCATTCTAATTTAACAATTCCATGTCTGTTTTCAGTTCTGCTTCCACTTTCAAAGGTTGAGAATTAGTCTTTATGGCCCCCTTTAGCATTGTAACAGAATCAATAAACACCACTGAATGATAAAAGGGATAGAAAAGCAGGTCATTTCTCCAAAACAATCACATTTATTAGCCTTTATGAAACTTGCACCTAAGTAAAAAAGTTTGATGCTCACTATTAGCTCTTTATATAATTTTTAACCAAGGAAGACAGCTTGCTTGCTTCCAAATGAAATGCCTTCCGTAACACAGGATTTAAAAAAGACTAATGCATTTTAGGAGATTAATGGAATGCTTAACTCTTCAAAGGACTGATATTTTCTTTGCTTCAGCAGTTCCTTAGCTCTAACTAGCAGCCAATACCCATCAGCTCAGGGACAGCCCTAGCCATCAGGGCTCAGCAACTACATGTCATGTCCAAGGACTCACCATACCACTGGGAACAGAATGGCTCCACAACACAGCAAGTCTACCAGGAAGAGAATTTCTTTCCACAGTCCATACTCAGTTGTTCCCTCTTCCGTCGACTCTATGATAATGTATGCCACATTTGCCAGTACCTACAGGACAAGAAGTTCCAGATGCTTTCCAAGAAGAGACTAGATATTGGCTGTCAATTCTGCAAAAGCTGCCTCATACTTGCAAGAGCCTGTTCAGCAACAACAGAAATAATTCTGCATCTCTGTCAAAATCACACGTTCAGCAGCATCTTCACAGGATTTACAAGAAAAAAAACCTGACTGGAATTTATTTCTGCTGACACTAAAATAGTTCTTTCTGCTATACACTATGCTGTACCAGTAGAGATAAAAGGAAAAGCTATTTATGAAAATACAGAAACAGGACTCTGCATGTACGCAGATAGCAAGTATAGACAAAAAATATTATTCTAAATTGAGCAAATAATTCTGTTTGTTCATCAACAGCATTCTGTACTCCATACCCTAACTCTAAGGGCCCTGCACACTAAGAATACACTTTTGCTTTTTGCAGGTGGGAAAGAAACTCCAGTTTGGAAGACAAAAATTCTTTTCCACAAGTAACAGCAAATGCAAGTGTCATCCTCCTGTTTACCTCAGCTTCTGGATTAGGAGGCAGGCATTGATCATTTGATCTTCCTGGGAATATTTCCATCAGACCCAAGGAATCTGCAAGTCTGCTTTTCCCTCCATTTCTTTAAGCCCACTGAGCAGGAACTTCAAGAGAGACAACTTTCATCTAATGTCTCTGCTTGGTACCTTAGGACTATTTTGCAGCCCAAGTTCTGCCCTACCATGAATATATCTACCTTACAGCAAGTAGCTGACACTTTGATCACTATTATCACATACTCCATGTGGGAGGAAGAGTGGGCTAATTATAGCAGTAGCTTCTGGCCCTTTTACTGCTCCCTGAAAAATTCTACCTTAATTCATGCAGTAGAGGCTAACTGATAGGTTTATGAAAGCAGTAACTGTATGGTACACTGATTCAGGTCCCCTGCTTTTAGTTTCCACAAGACATTCTCCCACAGGATAACAAGTCTTGACAACTTAGTCCTCACCTGAAGTGGGATGACAATCATGAAAATTTTTTTGTCTTTATCAGAGAGGATGTGCTTAATGAAAGCCCAGCCTGTGCCAATGAGGGCGATAGTAATGAAGAGAAGAGCACCTTTCAGTCTGAAAGAGAAGCAAAAATCCTAAAGTGAGAGACTTATTTCATCATATTCATTCTTCTGCCCAGGTCATCTAAAGGCAATAACCCAAGCAACTGCACTGCAGTCCACAAATTCAACGAATGTCCATCCTACAACAGTGAAGCAGATGTACTAGCTTACAACTGCATATCACAGCAATATTAAGATTTCATTCACAATTGACAATGCATGCAATCTTTTCCTAGGGGAGTCATTCATTTACCACAGTGAAAGCGAGAAAACACTGGCAGCTGCATCCTCTTACCATTCACATCATAAACAAATCAGATACTTGAATATTAGTATGAACAAAGAAAAGCAAAGCATTTCTTCTTTTACTCCTCCACCCACATAAGTGCCAACTGTCTGCAGCTGCCCTCTAAGCAGAGCTTTCCCCTTCACACTGGACTGATTGATGTCTTGTCACTTGGAATTCAGTGCCAAAGAATCAGCAATTTCTCAGCTTGTTGAAGGGGGAAGGAGGGAATAAATTCAGTTTTATTCTTTCAATCTATCGAACTATCTTTTGACATACTTACAGGTGAGTGATGTAATAGACAACAGCCCAGCCTTCAATAGGAAATCCCTGAGAAGAAATGTAGTGATAGTCGATCTGGAAACAAAAAAACATAATATTGTACCTTATAAGAACTTTTCACAAGCACCCCATCCATTATAGAAATGTAGTGATAGTCGATCTGGAAAAAAAAAACATAATATTGTACCTTAAGAACTTTTCACGAGCACCCCATCCATTACAAAATAACTGCTCTGAGTCTTTTCAAGTTTTAGTTCTCATCAGCTAGTATAAACTCAGCTCTGTTGCATCTGAGAGTCTTTCCTCCCAACCTGTTATAATTTGGTTTGGCAGCAATCAGGTAATTTCCACTTGTTTTATTTCTGAAGTGGTAGTGAATGTATCTTTTATACACTCCACGTCCCTCCTACACAGCTCCCACACTTAACTATTGTTCATCTACTGCATTCAACTTTATTCATGTCGACTTCATTCATTCATTTTCCAAAGTCACTTGCATTAGGTGACTAGAGCCTTTCTACTTTTAGATTCACTGCAAACCAGCTTCACAGTGTTAACTACTTCAAGTCTGTGGCAATTATTCCAGCACAGACTTGATGGCAGAGATCACTATTGGCATGAACATGGCAGGATTAAATGCTTGCCATGATTACATAGGGTCTTTCCAGTAGAAAGGCAGAGTCAATACAATTCAGTGAAGACTTTGGCTATATCATGCATTAAAGCTTGCAATGTTAGGGCTGCTGCAGTATGGCATAATGTCACCTGAGGTGACAATGCATTGAATTTCAGACATTCAGCAAGGTCTCAATTCACTGGCACCTGCCGTAAGCTGCAGCAGCACCACCATAACTCAGGCCTTCAGGCCAGCCTCAGGCAGACAAAGCACTGGAATTTGTGGACCTCTTTCAACCCTCACATACATGTTTGCTGCCACACCACTTCAAGCCATAATGTGACTTGTATTTCAGATTGCATATTTATATTTCAGATTCAGAATTTCATGACAAAAACTGAATAATTTCCAAACATCTGCAGTTCAGTAGCAAAGCTTTGCTGGGAAAGATTACACATATGCACTCCTACTACAATATAGATTTCCCCCCTAGTACAATGTGCCCTGAATTCTACTTTTCTACTTTCCAGAAGAGCAATTTGAAGCAGCAAGTGCATACATACCGCATGAAATACTAAGGATAGAGATTTGGTGAAAGGAAGGGCTGCCATGAGCCAATGAATCTTAAACACATCATTTCTGTGGGAGGGAGGGAAAAGAAAGAAAAAAACACCTAAGAGACAGCATGAAAGTATCTTAGTTTCACAGAGTATTTCTTTATCATCTATAAATGCCAAATAGTAATTTCCAAGATGAGCTAACTATTAGAGGAAAGGATTTTCTTTACCAAATGCTGCAGTCTGAACTTCTACAACATCCTGAAAATTTCAACCAGATATTCTACAAGATTTTAAATGCTTAAGTTAAATAAAATTCTTAAGAATATGCTATACATTTAGATCATAAATCTTTCCTGAAAACTTAGACATAATTGAAATGCATAACTTTCTTCCTAAATCAATATATAAAGCCACCAATTGAACTTCAGATTGCCAAATAAGCAGATCTCAAGTGAACTTCAGACTAAGTATGATTAAGTGTTAAGTAACTTAGTCTGACATTGAATTATGCACAAGAACAGGAGTCCAAAAAAATCTAATGAACTAGGATCATATTTTTACTCACATAGTAGTAGTTTCTTTACCTGCGTTTTCGAAGTATGTGTATCCACACAGCCCCGGAGAGGAAAAAGAAGAAAGCCATAGAAATGTAAAGTTTTGGCAGTGGTATCTCACCCGCTGAGAGGTAGCTTTCAGGATTCTTCTCCGTAATTTCTATCTGAATATTAAAGATGTTATGTGCACAGTTGGAAAATATATTTTGCTTAAGTATTGAGTGAACAATTACAATCACAATCAAATTCACTCTTGAAATTAACTGTATGCTGTAACTTATAAGACTACCGAGAAAAAGATTTTCCATCCTGAATCAGTTTTTCGTTCAACAAAACATTTTGCAAGTCACTCCTACAACAGCAATTTCCTTGAAAAGCAGAAAAGGACAGAGGCTCCCTCTGGTTTGTGAGTTATGAAACAAAATTTAGAAAGTCAAAGTGATTTTTCCCAAATAACAGTTGGTCTGGGTACTGAACTTCAGAGTTTGCCCACTCTTTTTTCATCATAGTCCTGATTTTTGATGTAGAGAAGGCCTACACAGCTGCAAAAACTTACTCTTAGGTATACTACAGGGGATTTCTTCACTTGTCAAGAGAAAGGATACACTCTGCTGCAAGCCTATTATCCTGCGACTCAAAAAACAGAAACTTTGTTTAACATTTCATTTATGCCCCCAAACTGCTTGGTCATAAGTGCTAAGAGTTCGTTAAAACAATCTTTCAAGATCGACTCTCAGCAAAGAAACTACTTTTCAGACAAAACCAAAGATGGCCAGTAATCCAGGTTCTCTTTCTTTCAGATTTCTTCAATGGATCAAAAAGCAATAAAATAGTAAATGAAACAAACTTGGCCTTTTCAATACACAGCCTTAGGGAGCACCTTTACAACGATTTCAGCTGAGGTAAGCTAGGGCTGCCAAATTCTACTCCCTACACATTCCCTCACCTTTCCTTTGCACTAGCATGAGCACAACCATGTACCAAGCAGTTCATGGGGGCTGAAAGTTACCCTGGTCAATGAGAGATTCATTTCAGAAGAGCTCGGTACCCACAGCATGAATGCTGGTGTGAGCACAAGGAAGTGGGAGCTGTTCTAATGTTCTGGGGCCGAGGATGGCATTAGGCTGAACACTTGGACTCCTTTTGAGCTACTTCCAAGAGACAGAATGCAGGCTGTAAGGTACAGTTTCTAAAAGGCTGCATTCAGTGCTGTACAAACTCCAATTGGATCAAAAAAGCAGTGACAATGAGTTTATGAAGATCAACAGTTTAGATCCAAACACCAGACTATCAGCAACGGTGTAAAGGAATTTGAAAAAAAAAAGCAGCAAAATAAACATCCATTTTAAATCCAACCTCATTATAGCATGAAGTCACAACTGCACAGATTGAATTCAGCCTACATGCAGGCTTCAAATTTCCAAATTTCTCTAAATCTTGTATCTTCATTCTTCTTACTCTAGTTGCTTCCTCCAGAAATGCCACTAGAGATTAAATGCACAACTCGATCATTTCCCACTCCATAGACACTTATCTACAATGTGTTCTATATAGAAACTGGAATTGAAAAAAAAGAGTTAATTACACTTCAGAAGCCATACTCACATCAAGACTAAATAGCTGCTGATCATTAGTCTGTAAATCGCTGCCAATACACTTATGGAAATACAGGCTGTAGAGACCTTCTTGGTTATCAGAACTGACGTTGAAATAAAACTGAAAAAAAAGGAACAGAAAAGTCAGTATTTTCATCATTCGCAAGGGGTTATCTTGATAAGAGGCATCTCCAGTGGAGCATGGAAAAGGTAAATCATTGTGTCGGTTCCTTTCAGCAACAACACTTACGAAGCTACCAGTGTAACTGCTGATATGTCTCAACAACACAACCCCATATCAGATGCAGGGTTATTGCACCTAACTCATCGCTCAAGCTGGTAATCCAAGACCTTTAGGGATCAATGTTTTAATTACTTCACCATAGACAAACGATAACGTGAAGTATCCTATATTTAACAGGGTGAAACACATAGCTACTTTGATATTTGCCCTAAAGCATGAGCAGCTATTTTGCTCCTTGCCCAATTATACAAACATTCAGAGCTGTATGAACTCTCGCATGGCACAAGACACATTCAATACATGTTTGTTTTGTGCTGAGCAAATATCCCAACTGAAGGAGCATGCTGAGGCAAAGCATTAATCTGGTTTCGCATAGAGGACAATCGCCCCCTACATGAATAATCAGTTCAGACTATAGCTGTTTGTTGTTAGAATTCTGTAAATACTGCCTGCTCTACTGTGATGCAGTTGATCTAAAACAGCCCCTACACTATATAAGGAAAGGGTTTTCCAGTATTTAGTCTCACAAAAGCCCATTTGAAAAGTTTACTGAACTATTAAAGATTTATGTGTACTAAGAAAACAGAGAATACAGCAGGGAGCAGCAGCCTTATAACTTTTCAGTAAGCAAGTCAGTGAGGGAACTACCTGTACGTGTAGTACACACACAACACAAAACTAGACATTGACAGAAATCATACCTGAAATGAAAGAGTTCCTCTGTCATTGTGAACAGGATGTGCTTGTTCTACTATGCTCTGGGAAAAGGAGGAGACAAACTTTTAGATTTTTAAGCAGGTAATACTACATTTGGCTACATCATCCAGACAACCAAAGCTATTCTGTAGGTTTAAAGAGGAAGTGAGAGCAGGGAGTGGCATGGCCACTTCCTGGCCACGTTTCCCCCAGGCTTTCTGAAAGAGAAAAGCAGATAGTTTCTCTTACCTGGGAGGATGTTGTACTTCGTTTGGACTTCTTATCTAGAGATAAAAGCATTCATGGCACATTTAGAGTGTTTTGTGCTTAGACATTCTCACAGTCTACCACTACATTACTAATACCTTGCCCAAGCCCTCCTACTCTTGTCTGCGTGGCAGTTTGCTAGATAATCATTAACAGCAACTCTTCCCCAATCCCTCCTCACTTTCCCAGGACTCTTCCCTTAACTACATTTCAGGATTAATTCAGAATGAATGATAAAATGAAATTTTCCATCCCATCAAAATACAATAAATGCAACAAAAAAGGTGACCTACATTGGTGAGTCCAAATTTAACAAGGTGGCAACAAGCACATTTGCAGCTTGACATTACTAAATATGTGCATGATACCTTCACTAAGTATGAGACTAACCTGAAGATTAACTCTATGCACAGGTATACACACGACTGCAACCTAAGGAGTCCTGTCTATAGGTGTGCATGCAGGTAACGTAAAGCAACTCTGGAATCTGACTGCAGCACCCTTGGAAGCACATCAACCACAAACTAGCAATGAGAGAACATATGGATCAGGTTTAGCAGGCTTACCTTGGCCAGATGGATTTTGTTTGGTCTCAACAGAAGTTTTGCTAGAATCACTGCTCGGTTCAGAAGTTTTTGGAGACTTAGTAATCGCAGCAGTAACATTTTCCTCAGACACGAATGTAATTTTAGGTAACAGGTCAACAGCTTCTGCAGAGAACCGCACTTTCACACTAAACGAACAAAGAGTTTTTGAGCAAAAATGAAAGCAAATAGATATTCCTAAAGAGGCTGACATAGCCCACCAATCCTGTTTAAAAAAAAAAAAAAAA